TATATATATATATATATGTATATATGTATATATATATACATAATTATCATTTATACATAGTAAGCCTACAACTCATATTCTATGAGTGAGCTACCCTAATAATATATGATACTGAAGTGGACTGATATTTAGTTATAATAAAGTATCACAAGCTATACTATATATGATAATAATCTAGCACGATATATTGTAGTATTCCACAGGAGCACGGTGATAATAAATATATATATATATATTATTAACTAATAAAGGATCTAGGTATATATATATATCTAATTATAATATGTAATAATCTCAACTACAATACGGTATAAGTAAATAAAGAAATACTCATAGTGATGAATCATATGGAAACTAACGCTAGGTATATATCTCACTATATGGTGTAATACTACTACTCATATCATAACATCCCTCTCTCACCTACGCCCTCTTTACCTATACTACTATCACACACTACCTACTATACTATCACCCCTATCACTATACTCTATATATCTATCTAATATTATCTTATATCGCGTCTATTTATATCGCTCTCACTACTTACTGCTCTTACACGCTCACTAGTCATCAACCCTATAAATAAGTAGTATATACATATATACATATATAACAGTAATATATTAGTTATATGAGTGTATATAGTGTATACTATATAATATCATGTATGAGATACTAGTCTTATATAGTGTAGTATATCTATAACATATATATTCTATACACACATATATATTATACTAGTATTAGTACTCCCTATCTACCTATATATATCTATATCTCTATAGTGTCTACTATATGTATATATATATATTATCTAATCAATTGTATCACATATCAGCGCTACTACCTATATAGTATAGTATACTATATAATTTATATATTATATATACTTATCACATAATATCTACTCCTGCTATTATTACCCTATGCTAGGTAAATATATTATATTATATATATACTTTATTATATCTTATATATTTACTCAATATAATATAACACAGTGACATAATTATATTAACTCTATATCGTTATATACCCTTATAATATCCCTGCTTCTCCTATACTACTATACTCATTATAATATCTACCACCTGACTGAGTTATTAATTCACTATACTACAATATAAGTATATACCTATAAAATATATATAATATAAATCTAATATCTTATATACACTACATACTACGCAACCATCTACACACTTATATACTATACACGTTACTATCCATAAGAATAGATAATATATCCGCAGCATATACACACACACATACAGCCCTCATCACACTATCTCACACACACACTGTAACTATCATTTACCTTACCTACCAAGATATATATAGCTAAAATATATACTATATATTATATACTCATATATAAAGACACTCTGGACTAAAATATTATACATGCAATATCGTGACATACTATAGTACGTATATGATAAAACGCAATATTATACCACCGGTAGTTATATATATAGGTGTAATGTATACTACTTATATACACTTACACTAAAGGCTCATTATATATAATATGCACGCCCTACTGTATACTTATGATTATACTATATGTCACACGCATAGAATGAGACCGATATAGGATATGGAGTAAGAATAACTAGACATAAGTATAGGATATATAATATATTATAATTATTAACACGTCTACTCTACTAGCTGATATTAATTATATTCTCAAATCTCATTGTGGTTCACGTTTTCATTCACAAATAGCTATTATATATAAGAGGTAGTATATATATTATATATATATATATATATATATATATATAATATAGTAACTATATAGTATTATATTGTATACGTATATTTAATATAGTATAGAGTATATATATAGTAGTATACATATAGATAAGTAGTTAGATATTATAAGTGAGTTATAAGTTATAATATAGTGATATATCTTATATATAAGTATATTATAAGTATAATAAGTTAAGTATATATATATGTATGTATGAGCATATATATTAAGTTAATAGTATATATTAGTATTAAGTAGTATAGTAAGTTAAGTGATATTAAGCGATTATATCTATATCAGCTTATATTCTAATCTATCTATCATTATTATATTCATATCTATTATATTATAATAGTTATATAATAGTAGAATCTATAGTAGCTGTTATAAATAGTAGAGTATATATTATTTATAGTAATTTATAATAAGTAGTATGCTGAAGTAATTGAGTTAGTCAATTCTATAGTATATGATAGCTAATAGATAGTTAAAAGTATCTATTTATCATATTATTAACATATTATTATTCATCATTAGTAGTTAGTTAGCTGTAGTAGTGAGAAATAGAAGTAGTATTCAACAATCTGCTGCCAAAAAATTACAAAGGGTAGATGTATATATAAGTATTAATACTATATATATAGATAATTATATATATAATAAATATATTATATATATAATATATACTATATATATATTACACACATCAACGCACACACATACACACACACACGCATAACACATACATATTATATAAATACTAATATTATATAATATATATAATAAATTATATAATAATAATATGCAATATAGATGAAGATATATGATGTGCATATATGGGCTAAGAATAGAATCACTATACAGTGATAAGTACAATAGTATAGTAGTATATATACGGGGAAAGCTCACGTAATAATATATAAGGCTCCCTCTATATGAGTCACGCCTCCAACATTACCATAAAATAAGGAAAATAAAAAAATAAAGGAATGAAAAAACAAGGTTAACTCACCTCCTACCTACCCCCCCTAGCAACCCTTATCTCCCAATCATTTATATAAATATAGGTATAGTATTATATGAATATATCAAATGGACTGGGTGGTGTCTTCGCTCTCTCTATTTGGTGACTACTATGCTGATGTTGTGTGTGTAGCTGCTCGATAGTGTGTGTTTTGTGTGTGTATGGTTGTACTGTGTGGCATTGTGTGTGTATGGTGTCTGCCTCAACCCGTGAAGGTGGAAGACTGAAAGTGGTATGTAGGATACATTCCTCGTTGGGCTCCAAGCTGTATCGGTGTGTGGCAGGATATCGGCGATCGATAGAGTGTGTGGAGGGTGTCTTTTATGTGAGTGAGGCAGCGTGCCTGTGTGTGTGGTCTGTGGTTCGTGTATGTGTGTGTGTATGTGTGTGTGTTTTGTGTATGTGTGGTTATATGTTTCTGTGATGGGGGTGTGTCTGTTTGTTGGTACTGGTATGTGTGGTGTGTTATAGCAATATACTATACATATATATATACCTAGGTATGTACGTGAGAGTAGATGTCAGTAGTGTATATAGATACCGGGGCGCATATGAGCTGGTGAGCGGTAGGGGAGGACCAGGGCTTAAGAGGGTATTATATATATGAATGTGAGCACATCAGGGAGCGGACCACACACACAACACATACACACACACACACAGACACACACACACCACTCACATACACACACAGACACTATCATCACATCACACAACGACAATCACACCACACCACACACACACACAGATATGAGTATACGGGATAAGGATATATAATGACTAGTAGGTAGGTACGATAGTGAGTAATATATATACAAGGGGGTGTTGAGCTAGAGAAGTAGACGAATTATATAATATATATATATGAGTAAGTAAGTATAGGTAATATAATGTGACACGAATGTGATAAGGGGTTGTGTTGATGTGTGTGCGTTATAGTGCGTGTGGGTAGAGGCAGTACAGAAAGGATGAATGATGTTGGTGTAGATGTGTGTGTGTGTGCGTGGTGTGCTGTGTGGCTGTGGTGTGATGTGATGATATTATAGATGGGTGTGTGTGTGTTGTGATGTGTGTGTGTGATGTGTGTCTGTGTTGTTGCGAGTGTGAATGTGTTGTGTATGTGTGTCGAGGCAGGGTGGTGTGGAGGCAAGAGGTATATTCAGATCATGGGGGAGACTAGGGGGGTACAGGTAGGGGAGGAGAGAAAGGATGAATACTGATGAGTGTATATAGTAGGTAAATAGTGAATAATATATATAGGTATATAAATATATAAATTATATATACGCAGGTGGACGTATAATATATATAGGTATACTATATATATATATATATATATATATATATATTATGGTATTATATATATATATATATATATATATATGTATTATATATATGTAATATATATAATATATATATATATATATTATATTATATATATATATATGTATATATATATATATATATATATATGTATATATAGTATATATATATATATAATATATATATATATATGATATAAAAATATATATAATTATTGGAGATGTTACTAGGGTACTATTATAGTCCAAATGAAAGTATACAGTTATATGGAGAAGGTATATATATGGTGATAGTAAATGAATAATAGTAGTTAAGGATAGTATAAGGTACTATATATATATATAGGTATAATAATCATATGTATACTGATAGCGATGTATAGAAAGATATAGGGAATAGTGATAAGTAGAATATATTTATACTTTAGATAGTATATTACATTCAAGGGGCAACAGCAGGATTATATATTTGTTAATTATGATAAGATACACACATACGGGGTTATATAAAGTTAGTGAGTAGAAAGATAATACAGTGATTATATATATAGGTAGTATTGTATAATAATTAGTAATGAGTATACTACTCTTCATAGTAATATAAAGCACTAAAAAGTATAATATACTGATGTAAGTAATAAATACAGTATTATACGTAGTGAGTATGAACGGAGTATATAGGGTAGTATATATATTATATAATATATTATATATTTATATATGATATACATATATATATACATATAATATATATATATATACATATATATATATATATATATATATATATACATATATATGTTTTTTCATATACGTTTCTTTTCACACATAGGTCCGTTGGACATACACTGTTTGAAACATAAGAATAGGAGGGAAGTAAGAAGAAATAGCTTTACTATCATTTATTTTCCATTCCATATGTGTTGCCTTCATCGCCTTCGCGTTTTACGTTTGTGCTTTCGCTGATAATAGGTATATGGCACTGGCA